AGACCCCTGATACAAATGAATAGCCCCTTGAATCTGACCACACCTGGTGTGAGGTGTCGGCCTCTTTTCTTTGTCTGGAGAAAACCTGTTTATCAACCACTCTTGCAATGCCTGGTTTACACACCGTAGAGTCACAGGCTTTAAAGCATAATATCAGTGAGTATCCATAATACATAAGTCTTTGTCCCACTGAAGTGAACAGCAATTTTATCATTTCTTTCAATGGGACCAGGATTTGACCCCTGCAATGCAATGCTCCTGCAGCAATGAGATTCTGTTATAATCCTAAAGGAAACGTTCCAAAATCCAGTTCCCAGATCCATGCTGTGAGAGGAGGTAGTTTGTGTCTATTAAATACCAGCTCATTCTTCAGTGAAACTCAGAGCCTGTGGAGCGGGGTGTTGGATCCGGGAGCCCAGGCATCTCACACACAAGCAGAGCCAGGGTAGGAAAGGGACAGATCTGGCCATGATACAAACAACCCCAGTAGGAAAAGACCCCATCACTCACCCTAGTCCTGCTATACGTGTATCTGAGGAGTCACAGGAGTTCCCAAGTCCAAGCTATTCCCACATGTAAATATTAGACCAGGGCGTGAGTTGGAGGGACACAATAACACGCAGCCACACTCACAAATGGCAAACTGGGCTGGATGTAGCTGGGACCTGTCATGAATCTCTCCTTCAACTCCAGAGATTGGAGAGAATTCAATGGGATGCGAGAAGCAGCTGGATTTTCTCCAGGTGCTGTAGGGCAGTATAGCAACATGGTGCAGCTATGACTCTGGGCACAAGAGGGCGCTGTCTCCCTACTCTTGTGAACTGTTGGTAATGAAATACAGTAACTGTTTAATACACATTTACCTTCCAGGGTGTGTGCAACAGGCTGTGGTGATCAGAGAGCTGCATCTGTTCAAACCCCTCCTACAGACACACTGGGTGGGGGAGGGATAAGACAGAGGGTTGACAGAACACAGATGTATTAACTTATGTTGTAGATTTATGAACCACTTCTCAGTGTAACTATGGGATTTTTATATAGATGTAAACCCAGACAAGTCTGGAAACAACCATTCCATCAGCATGTGAAAAATTGGTGAAATTAGGAAGATATGAGCCTGTTGAATGATCAAATTACACAAGGCACAAGGGGGTTAATTCACCCCTCAGCCAATACAGAGCTACTA